ATTAGCTTGTTTCATAAGACGACAAGGGAGAAAGGGTAGATGAAGTTGAACATGTTCTTCAGGGAGTCTATGATGTGACAGTTAGGAAGAATTCAATTCGCTTGGCAAGACGACTGTGATGATATGAGAGAAGGTAGAGCACTGTTGCAGGTGGAGTCAAGAGAAAGAAGTTGCAGGGATAGCGGTGTCTCTTGTTTACAGTGAGCCTGGTGGAGGCTTGTCGGGGCAGCTCGGCGTGAGCGGCAAAAAAGGATCAACTCAAGTCCTAGTACACGGAAGTTCGAGCAAGGAACAAATTCAGATTGGCGTAGCATATTCGCCAAGGTGGAGTTTGTTAGAGTTTGTGTCGAATATGTGTACGTAGTCGGTTACAGTTTAGGACTTGGAGTTGTACTAGGTGTAAGACTAGAGTATGAGTCGGACTCTGTCCTAGGATCTCTCATAAATAAAGGGGTGTGCCTGTTATAACCGCATGGCGACTTAGCATAGCGAGAGGGAGCGGCTGCCGGCGGCGACCGGCCGTGAGTCGTTGTAACTCTGATACGCTGTATATGCTGGATCGGGGAGGAGCTGTCACACCCCGAAGTTCTCCTCCCAAGCCTAAAATTTAATTTATAAGAGACCCTAAGAAAATACCGGTGCAAAGCAAGAGTAAACCCTTTTAAATCAATGCAAATAATAATTGGAGTGGGCATGTGGAATTTTTCTTGAGTTCTACATGTCGAAATTCACTAACAGGATTTTTAGTGGAATTTTCAGAGCCCTATAAATAATTTTAACCAATTAAAATTGAGCAAGCAATTTTTTTTAATTCCAGGGAAAATCTTTTTTTTCCTTTTTCTTTTTCTTTTTCCCTCCCTTTTTCGAATGGGCCGCTGGCCCATTCTCTCCTTTCCTCCCCCTCCTCCCTGCTGGGCCGGCCGCAGGCCGAGGCCCAGCCAGGCCGCCCCGCCGCCCTCCTCTCCCGGGGTCGCCGACAGGTGGGGCCCACCTGTCGGGTCCTCCCCCAACCTCTCGCCGCGCCGCCGCGCCCGCAACCGTCCCCGCGCCCACGTCTCCGCCTCCTCCGGGCCACGTCGGCCACGCCCGCGCGTGCGCCGCGTTCCCCGCGCCCACTCCCCTCTCTCTCCCGCCCGCGCCCGCGCCCGAGATGGCCGGGATTCGATTTTCGAATCCCGCCTCTCTCTCCTCCCCCACTCCCCCACGTCGGCCGGCGATTCCCGCCTCTCCCGGCCACGTCCGGCCCCCTCTCTCCCTATTTAAGCTCCTCCGTCGCCCCCTCTCGCTTTTTCCCCATTTCGCCGAACTCTCCCGAGCCTCCCATCGCTCCCGCACCGTGCAACCACCCGCCGCCGCCGTTCCCGCTACTCCGGCCGCCGCTAGCCGCCGCTAGGCTCGCCGCCGCACCGCGCCATCGCCGCCGTCGGGTTCGCGTGGCCGAGATCCACCCCGTCCACCCCTCCTTCGTCGAGGTCCGCCGCCGGAGCGCCATTCCCTTCGTGCGACGGTGAGGGTTGCCATGTCCGCCGCCTTCGGCCGGCATTCCCGTCTCCTATGGCCCCTCTCTTCCTCTCTAATCTCTTTCTTTTCGTTCTTTAGGTCGTCCCAGTCGCCGTCCGCCGCGTGTCGATCTCCCTCCGTCGCTCCTCGTCGCCGGTCGCCGCCGTCCCCTCCGGTGAGGACTCCATCCCCTTTCCTTTCCTTCCCCGATTCCCTGTGCGTCGCCGCCGCCCGCGCTCGCCGTCGCCTTCGGTCGTTGCCGCCGTCTGCTGCCGCCGCTTTCGCGTCACTTTTGCGCCGTCGCCTCCGCCGCCGGATGCCGTCGCCAGCAACGCGTTCGCGCGCGCGTGCCATCGCCGCTAGCCCTGGCCGGCCGGTCGGCTTTGATGCCGAGCCGAGCCCGGCGGCCGCCTCTATCGCCGCCCGTCCGATCGGCCCGAGGGCGATCTGGGCCGTCGGTCCCGTGGACCGGCGGTGGACCACCTGCGTGGTCCCGGTCCACGGTGAACCGCCCCCCCTGAGCCGCTGACCAGTGGGCCCTGCTTGCCGGCGCCGCCCCCCTCCGTGCTGACGTCAGCTCTGGAAAATATTGCGCAATAAATTATTTAAGGATTTTTGTTATAGTAATAAACACAGTGAATCTTCTAAAATTCATAACTAATTCATCCGAGCTCCGTTAAAGCCCATTCAAGTCTCAGTAAATCAAGAAAAATGTGTAGAATCTATTAAAAATGGTTTTGTTCCCTGTTTCAGTAGTCTTATAGCCTGTTTGCAATGTTTGCCTTGTATGTCGCTAGATTCCGGTTCCTCCGACGCTCCGGTGTACTTCGAAATAGTCGCCGAGGTTCCTCCAGCAGCAGAGCAAGGCAAGTCATGCTTGTCACTTGAACATGTTGATCCTATATTGCAAATGCTCTATTGTTTTCCTTCAAATACTGCATCGTTTTATAATGTTACTAAGGGGTGTTTACCTATTGTCATAGCTATGCTATTGTTGTACCATGTCCCTTTGTCAGCTTGGGGTTATAACATGACTAGAGATTGGACTAGGGATTGCTTAGCCATGCTTAGTTCAACTAGTGCACAATGGGGAAAATCTTATTAATGTTTAGACTGTTGGTATTGTTGGGTTAGTGCCACCGCTTTGGTGTTGGTTAATTAAAATAAATCACATGGTGGGCTGTGGGTGCATGGTTTTGCTGGTCGCACCCATGGCAGTTAAGGACCGGTTCGCGGGATGCCCTGGAAGAACTTATCGTACTTACCACAAGCCAGCGTGGGCAACGGCTGGGCTTGTAGCGTAGCTTTCCTCTAACCGACGCATCCAGGCAAGGGTGGGCGTGATGGAGTTTGGATGGGCCCTGCGACGGCCTATGCGGCTTCCGGATTCACCTAGGCACGAGAGGGGACTGCCCGCTGCCTTGCGAGGAGTGGGGGTGAAACCTGAGGTGTGGTGTGCTTGGTTAGAGGGGGTTATGCGAATGGTCCTGTCACGGCTTCTTTCCGGTATGTCGTGGTGGCATGTCGGCGCACGGAAACGTGTCATGGGGCTGTGTCTTGTGGGTACAGTTGTACACCTCTGATCAGAGTAAAACTATTCGAATAGCCGTGCCCGCGGTTATGGGCGGTCAACCAGATTCACCGTGATTAGTCTCACCCTAGTGTAATCTTTTGAATTTGGATAGTTTAGGTGGATGGTTGGGCCTGTTGCAACGTGGGATAGCGTTGGACAGTGGATAGTTAATACTAATTAATTATTACAACTGTTTAATCTTTCAACTTCTGTTTATAAATGCTAGCTTTATGCAAATGAACCACTTTAGCTCTTCTTTGATGATTCCCTGCATCATACCTCTATTCCGGTATGACTTGCTGAGTACAGTGGGTAGTACTCAGTCTTGCTCTATTTTTCCCAACCCCAGAGTACGAGTATGTGTCAGATGAAGGTTTCTCCGAGGAGTAGGCTTCGTCCGTGCCGTCGAGGATGCCTGTGGAGTGGTGTTCCCGCTGCAGTTCTAGTCAAGGCTTAGCTCCTGTTGTCTTTCTTTCTTTCCGCTGCATTTATGTAAGACTTTTATGATGTTTGTAAGACGTGGATCTGAATGTCAACATTGTCGTTTGTGTACCCCGGCCGGTCCTGGACGGGGATTTTAATGCACATTCTGCTTGGAATTCTATTCGGGAATTTCTGGGCGTGACAGGAGCGCCCGTAATCAGTGCCTCGGAGATGTAGGCCTCGGCTGAACTCCGTTATCAAATATCGTGCCTCGGTGTCGTCATCGTGTTTGGATCTCCTATGACGTTTCTTCCGCATTTAGTTATCGATGTCGATTTCGGGGCTGGTTTTATAACAGCGTGGGCGCAGAGGTAGGGAGTCCGCCACCGCCGGCGCCGGCGCCAGTGTCAGCCGCGCCGGCGTCCATCCTCCGTCGCCGGCATCGTCGTTGTCCACCGCTTGCGCCTGCGCCCATGTCAGCCGCAGCGCCGTCCGTTCGCCGTCGCCGCCATCCCATGTCAGCCACGGCGTTGTCCGTTCGCTGTCGCTGCCATTGTCATCCTCCACCGCCCGCGCAGCGCGTCCTCCGGCTGGAGCACGCCGCCGCATTCCGCCTCGCCCCACCATTCACAAGGGGCTTCTCCCCCACCCCTTCCCCGCCGCCGCAGCCGCCCCATTCCGCAGCCGCAGCCGCTGCCGCTGCTAGCACTCGCGGCCGCACTCGCCCCGCTGCTAGCCTTCCTCCGTGCCCACGCCACGCCGTGGACGACGACGACGATGACGATGGACGACGACGATGGACGCCGACGAGGATGGACGATGCCGGCGACGGACGGACGCCGGCGCGGGCGGTGGCGGACTGACGACGGCGGCGTCGGGCGGAGAAGACGACGGCGCTTCGGATGGAAGAGACGGAGTGGCACGGAACCACCGCTGGCGCCGGCACCAGTGTCAGCCGCGCCAGCGTCCGTCCTCCGTCGCCGGCATCGTCGTCGTCCACCGCTCGCGCCTGCGCCCATGTCAGCCGTGGCGCCATCCGTTCGCCGTCGCCGCCATCCCATGTCAGCCACGGCGTTGTCCGTTCGCCGTCGCCGCCATCATCATCCTCCACCGCCCGCGCAGCGCGTCCTCCGGCTGGAGCACGCCGCCGCATTCCGCCTCACCCCACCATCCACACGGGGCTTCTCCCCCACCCCCTTCCCCGCCGCCGTAGCCGCCCCATTCCGCAGCCGCTGCCGCTGCTAGCACTCGCGGCCGCACTCGCCCCTCTGCTAGCCTCCCTCCGCGCCCACGCCACGCCGTGGACGACGACGACGACGACGATGGACGATGCCGGCGACGGACGGACGCCGGCGCAGGCGGTGGCGGACTGACGACGGCGGCGCCGGGCGGAGAAGACGACGGCGCTTCGGATGGAAGAGACGGAGTGTCACGGAACGAAGGAAATTCGTGCTCCGATGGCGTATTCTGAAAGTAGCACGAATTAGGTGGCATATTCTGAAAGTAGTGCGAATTCGATGGCATATACTGAAAATTCTCCCATTATAAAACCCTTAATTGGGTTCAACGAGCTTAGAGAGTGCTTAACAACTTCATCTCAAAACAGGAGCTTAATTAACAAGCATTGCTGTCTGTGGCCATGGCCATACACCCAGAATAGGGGAGCTGAGATGAATCGATTGGGTCAGTAACAGAGCTAACTCATGGCAGCTTTGTCACCATGAGTGGCAAGCCGAACCCGGGTTCAATGGTCAGCCTGAACGCCGGCGAGTGACGGTACCTCGGCGACGGCGAGAAGGCGAACTTTGTCAGCAGCCTGGCCAGCACCACCTTCAGCTCCGCCATTGCCAGGTTCTGCCCGATGCACGTCCTGGGCCCGTGCCCGAACGGCACATACATGTGCGCCGCCCTGCACGCCGCCGCCACGCCGTTCGCGAACCGGTCCGGCCGGAACTCGTCGGCGTCGGCGCCCCAGGCTTCCTTGTCCAGGTGCAGCATCAGCCTGGGCACCTGCACGATGGTGCCGCGAGGCACCTCGATGCTGCCGAGCTTCACGTCCGTCAGGGCCTCCCGCATCATCACCGACGCCGGCGGGTACAGCCGAAGCGTCTCCTGGATCACCATCGTCACCTGCATCATTTCGACATCGTCGTCATTTGTCATCAGCAAGCATCCATTGTAAATTTCTACATTTTCTGTCAAGTTGTTACAGGATGAAACAATGCAGTTTAAGATGTTAATTTCTCACAATCTTTAACCGGCGAAGGGCGTCGACGTCCAATGTCGACCTTCCCCGGCAAACCTCCATTGCCTCAGCCCGGGCGCGTTCCTGCCATTCCGGGTGCGTGGCGAGTAGCATCAGGCACCAGATGGCGGTGACCGCCGTGCTCTCGTGGCCTCCGAAGTAGATGGTCTTACAGTTTCCGACGATGAAGTCCTCGGCCTCTGCAGCGCTGCGACCATCCTGCGCACCATCAATGATGGCGTTGACAAGACTGTTGTGTGAGTCTTGGTAGTGGTGTTGTTCCTTTGCGACATCCAGGATCAGTAACCGGACTTGTTCATCCAGCATCTGTATTTCTTGGCTGCTCTTGGTTGGCAGGTATTTCCTGCAACAGAAATATAGCATGAACCATCTTAATTAGCATACCTGATCACTTATAGCTGTGATTGTGACAGGCAAGTCTAGTTTATGCCATGCTTGAATTATCATACTTTAAACATGTGCTGTTTAAAAACAGTTTACGGCGAGGTTCTCTAGCTATTTGTCTCTACTGAATGACAAGACTTGTTACCTACTAATCTCAAATTAATAAGGAGTATACAAAAGACTCTTTCTTGGTTATTAATATCATGATACACACGTGAAGGTTCTCATTTTATTGCCACTAATTTCATTGACTTACCACAGTGCAGACAGACCAACAAACGAATCTTGCCGAGCAATTGCTTTTTGGAGCTGCCTAAGCTTGCAAAATATTTCTTCTCCTTTTGTGAAGCTACTCCCAAAGCAAGCCCTGGCAATTACATCTGCTGACAAGTTCCGCAAGTAATCATCGACAACTATTTCCCTACACCCTCCCTCATCGTCAATCATATCCTCCCATGCTTCTAACACTGGAACGGTTGCATCCTCAATTAGCTGTATCATACCCTGCATGCATATATAAATAACAACTGCAATCACGCGTGATACGAGATCTAGTTTTCAGTCCATGAAAACTACAAGCAATCACAATTTAATGGTACCTTAATCTTATCCATGAAGAACTCTGGTGCAATTATCTTCCTCTGATAGGCCCATTCATCACCATTCTCTGTAAATAAACCTCCTCCAAAGAGGGCCTTGCGAGATTTCTTTAGATAATTAGGCTTACCAAGCTCTGATGGTGTCCACCGGCCTATATCCTTCACCATATCTGGGTGAGAAACTTGTAGTATCTCCATAGCTCCTGTTGAGTATAGGAACACTGGGCCTGGTCAAAATACACATGTAAATTAACTTCATTAAGAAGAACTCAACATGGACATTCCCTCAAATTTGACATGAATATAGGGAAAATGAGATAAAAAGCATAGTCTATTCTAAGATTGAAATCAATTGTCAAACTTACATTTTTCAGAGCAAAGGAAATGATAAATATGATTGTTATTGTATTAGAATTCTCACTACCAAAGTAGGTCAGATCCTGCTTAATCTACAAGTAGTTGGGAAATGTTTAGTTATCCAACACAAAACTCGAGATAACATATAAAATGGGTGTATGAAAATTTTAATTGATGGTCAACTACTGAGTCCTTTATATGACTGTCAAGAGTTGAATGGCTATTATATTAAGCTGTAAAAAGGCCCCACAGTCTAAATAAACTATTCATCAATAATTATGATCCTGACAAACTTGTTTAATAATTCTCAGTACTAGCATCTGAGCTTGTTTAGAATCTGAAACAGAAACTTCGTAGGATGGTAAATAGCAACCAAACTGGACAAAATAAAATTACAAAACAAACGATTAGATATATATTTAAAAATGTGTGATGGCACCATTTCTCTGAAAAGTGTCTGATCTGTTTATATAATTTGATATCCTACTAAAAGTTGAAAAACAGTAAAAAGAGGAGAGATTAAAAAAGTTATGATTGCTCTCCAATTCCCTACTAAATGATCAATTCAGGCTTATAAACTAGATTTTAATAGCAGGGATACTTCGGGGTCCTGCTTCTCCATGGTAATTCATTAATTCACTTCAACAGTTGTAGGTGATTAATTTTCTCCAAGACATGCCATTAATAAACATCAGGATCCTATCATCAATCTGATCTACTCATGAGTCATGAACATATGAGTGCAAGAGCCAATCATGGACAAAGTCACAAAACACTAGCATATACATACCATAAGTTTCCCGCCAAAGGAGGAAGTGTGGGAAGAGGGTGGAGATGAAGTTGTTGGTGCCTTGCTTCTGTGAAAGTTTGAGTTCTTGTCGGATTCTTTTGATCTCCTTGGTGTTGCCATAGAGAAAAGTAGGCTTGGGACCCCTTATGCCTTGCCTCCTCAACTTCTTCCTTATCTTCACAGCCCTCAGCCATAGGATGTTGCACAAGTAGAACAGAGCTAAGCTAAGAAGTATGACAAGAACAACAATGAGTGCAAGCAATTTCTCCATGAGCATAGGGAACCAGAGAAGCAAATTATTTCTGTCAAATCTTCAGTACATTAGGTCTTTCGTGCACTAGCTTTATATATTTGTTTAACACCTCAAGCATGTGAATTCTTTTGTTTGACCTTTTCTTCAACAACTGATTGTTTTGTAGGTTGCTTTCACATCTTGGGATCAATTTACAATCAGTTAGACCTTCCAGTTCATGACGATGTGAATTCAACAGACTAAATTACTGCAAGAAAATCATTTTGATCCCCCTGTTTTACCTGATGACAATCTAAAACCAGCCTTAAGTTCTGTGCTAGCATACTGCATTATGCACAACCTACTTTAGCTACCAGAAGCATTTCATGAGAGAAACAATATACCAAGAATTAACATACAGAAAAAATTTGTGAGGCACAAACCAATGAAGCCTAGACGCGAGCTTCAAACAATAGGAGACGAATTACTTCTCAACTGGACACTGGGTAGAATTCTGAAAAGCACTGAATGCAAATGGAGTCTTCTCTTCCATGGTGATTTTTAAATGAGGCAACAACAGAAGGAATCAAGGAAGCATAGGATATCCAATGGCACATATATGTTAAACAAATAGCAAGTATCAATACACACTTTTCTTGACTGAGCAAAGTAGCAGAAGAAACTAGGCATGTGAATTCTTTTACAACACTCCGACCGGTCACTGCAGCAACTACAACATTTGAAAATTTTAAAATAAAACTATTCTAAAGAAACAATCACGCACCACCATATATAGTCATTTTGTTATCAGATGTACCGCCGGAACATTCTAGAACATAGACCACCAACTCTTTTTGGTACCCACATGTACTTCAGTGGCACTTGGGGATCTACAGTACAGTTGCCTTCTACCACTCCTAGCAGGATTTGTAAAGCATAAAACTAGAGCGAAACCGATAAGGCTTACGACTGGAGCAGCAGCAATAAAAAGCCATCCACTGCGCCTGCGTGCACTGCTTGGTTGCTCATCAACACGAACATTGTGTTCACTTGTATTAGTCTCTTCGATAGCACCAACAGCCATCTGACGAGTTACCTGGACCTCTTGTTCATCAGAATTTTCTTCCACAACCTGAATGTCTCTTACATTGGTTGTGGCTTGCTTGGACCTTTCATACTCTGCATCATCTGTAGGAAGCTCATATCGGCAGACAGGACATGTATTTCTAGAACTAAACCATGGCAAGATGCACGATGAATGATAAAGATGCATGCATGGTAGCTGTTTTGCTCTAGCTCTGGTAGGAATTGGATCTTTGCAGACCGGACAGATCACATCATCATTTATCTGATGACTTGTGGAGATAATCACAGAGGGGAGATTTTCAATAAAGGATGTAGCAGCTGGTGGAGCTCCTCTTCTGGAACTGTTGTCCTCAGCAAATTGCTCAAGGAGCATCTCGAACTGCCTTGCATCAACATAATCATCTGGATTCCCGACAAAAGTTGTCCTCATTTCTGGCCCTTCCATGTCCTCTAGCAAGTTTGTCACGTTTGCTCTTTGACGTACAGCCACGCTCCAATTCCATACACCATCTTCAGATTCGTCCTCACTCAATCCACTTAGCTGAATATCATGTGATTGCTGCTGGTGCTGGGTCATGGTGTTTATTGTTTCATCAAAACCAGACTCTTCCACATCTTCCTGGTCATCTGAATCCCACTGATCCAGCCTAGCATTCATGGGATCAATATCGGTATCTGTGTTCATGTAACTTCCATTGTCAAGTTGAATGGAAATCCTCCTCCTTGCCGATACACTATGTTCCTCTATGGAGGTGTCTGAATCCGCACCATAGTCACCAAAACTGATGGTTGATTCAATTTCACCAAACACAGAATCAACATAATTAAGGCCGTCGCTCTCGTCATCTGAAGCATGCCATCTTTGAGAGTGGCTTGGTGTCGCATTGTACGACGCATGTTGCGGCAGGACTGACGAAGAATCAATATCCGTTTCACGACCTTGTCTTCTTGCTAAGTCGATCAGCTGAGAGAACTCCTGCGAGAATGCGTCCTCCAGGGAATCAATACTTGCAGTCCTGGATCTCTGCCTTCTCCGTCTTGTGTGATGAGAAGTGCTGGTTATTTCATCTCTTTCGACATCGTTAAGTACTGTGGCCTTGCAGTCCCTGCATATGGCTAAAGCTTCAAAGGTATCAGTCACCTGAGCATCCAAAGTAAACGGCCTTGTGCAAACTAGGCACTGCACATCTGGTTGGCCGGCAAATTGATGGTCAGACATGGATATCCCGACACTGAAGTTGGTCAGCAGTGCACCATTGGATTGGATGTGATAGCCTGGAGGGAAAATTTGTAGTTAGCGGAAGTTCTGCAGTGAAGTTGTATCAAAGTGATTGTGCTGCATATGCTCAACAAGATGAACAGAAATTAGAGATTGCAGAGAAGAAGTGGTGAGAAACAGCGGAACCTCCACCTTGTCAAGCGTTGCTGCAGCAGAGTAGAGGAAGCATCCCCCTCAGGATCCCTTAAAATCAAGAGAAATGGGATACTAGTCGGGGATGGCAGTAGATTTGGGGGCGGCCTAAACTAGGGCTCGTGGTCGTTGGCAGGAGAGGAGGGAACCAACTGCAGTCTGCAGCGATCGATTGATGAAGGTGACGCCAATCGAATCAGTGGAGCAACGCCAAATACGGGAAGCAATGGAATTTTGAGATTTTGGGGATTGGATTATTATTGGTATTGGCCGGAGGTGGGGAAAAATATGAGGAGGGAGACGAAGACGAGCGGAAAGCCAAAGCCAAACCACCTGCGTCTGCCCGCCAGGTACGGCCCACCAGTCAGTGCCACTGGTGAATTATTCTTTTGATAAATTATTTTGCCGCTAAACTGCTTCCATATAATGGTAAACAAACAAGTCGTTAGTAGTATCTGGTTTCAAAAAGATAAAAAAAAAACAGTTATCTGATAAGCCAACATGTACGTGGTTGCAAACTTGCAATATAATGGTAGTTCACTAGCTAGTAGACTTAGGTCCCGTTTAGTTTCCAAAAGTTTTTCTCAAAAACATCACATCAAAACTTTGGACACATGCATGAAGTATTAAATATAGATTAAAAAAACTAATTGCACAGTTATAGAGGAAATCGCGAGATGAATCTTTTGAGCCTAATTAGTGCATGATTAGTCATAAGTGCTACAGTAACCCACATGTGCTAATGACGGATTAATTAGGCTCAAAAGATTCGCCTCGCGGTTTCCAGGCGAGTTATGAAATTAGTTTTTTCATTCATGTCCAAAAACCTCTTCCGACATCCAGTCAAACATCCGATGTGACACTTAAAAATTTTCATTTCGTGAACTAAACAGGCGCTTAAAAATCACATGCATGCAAACATGAATAACAAGGGCCACATCCAAACACATACATAAGTAAGCAAGGAAAAATACCTACGCACTATTCGCTAAAGAAAACAACATACAAAATTACATATCTTTCTCTCCAGGTCATTTATATATGAACACTCTCCCCCGCCTCCTCTTTTTTTTAAAAAAAAAAACTAACGACGTCATATAAAGAAATCAATAGTTAGTATATTTTAATTTTTAAATTTTTTCCAATTATTTTTATTTATAAACAAATAAATAATTTAAGTTCCATATTATATATATTTTACTATACAAAATCAAAATAGATTTCTTTGCATAGACTATTGTTCTTTGCATACAAACCAAATAAGAATAAGACATTATAAAATAAAATCAATTGATGATATGCATTATGTCGTATTAAGTCAGCATACATTATAAAAGAACCCATAGAGAGCTTTTAACATGTCTTAAAAGTTAGAAAGCAATTTCGCTTATCTCAATGTATTCATGTTTTTCATCAATTAGATCTATTTTTAGAAGAAAACTTACTTAAAAGTTAGAAAAACAATCAAATAATTTTTCTTTTTTAAAAAAGGAAACATCTCAACATTGGTTCTCACTTGAACTTTTCAAAAAAAAAAGTAAAATAAAAATAAGGTCCCTTCCACCTCCTCCTCCCTTTCACATGCACACAACACTGCCTCCCCCTCCCTATCTTTTAAGCTTATGTATACCTGATTTAATTTCTCCCTCCTTATCCATTCATGAATCCATTCAAAACTCAGAAACGTCTTATAATGTGAAACGGTGGAAGTCCCAAAGACTAAACAAAAGATGAAGGTGACAGATACAGCTGTTCTGAAAACACCATGGGGAGTTCTAGTTTCACAGAAAAATGAGGAAAAGAAGAAGGCAACCCGATGAGTTCATCACTATATATTTTCCTATATATATACACTATCTATTAGTTTTCTCTTCACTCAAACCACTCTTGTATCTGTCAATTTTTAAGTCTTAACTCTCATCTGGATCTGCAGGTAGTAGTGTCATGCAGCTGCTTGGAACAGTTTCTCTTGCTCGCTGGGTCTTCCAAAAGCTTTTCTTAGGAACCTTTCCACAACAGAGACGAATTCTTCGGGTCGTTCCTCCTGTGGCAAGTGCCCAGAGTTCTTGATCACCTCAAATCCTGCACCAGGAATCGCACGTGCTACGCGCTCGGTATTCCAACGAGGAACAAGGCGATCAGTGTCTCCACTCACCACTAGCACTGCAATGGTAAACACACACACAACCCATTCAGAAAGTAACATCATTTATCAGCCACATGCAAGATAATTCCAACCATTTGTCCAAAATAATGATAGTTCACTGGTAAACCTGAATGCAAATTCAAACATGGATAACAAATAGTTTTTTTTTTTTGCTTATTTGTATATCATTGAAGGATCCCAAAAGTAGAGTGTATATGAAAACCTGGGCACGAGATCTCAGAAAGCCTTTCTGAGACAGGCACTTTCGATGATGATATAGAATCCATGATCATGGATATAGTGTACTCCAAAAGAGCCATCTCCCAACCTCTGGATCTTAATGGCTGAAGAAAAGACAGTTTTCAGTTTTGGCATTAGGACCCGATAGTTGCAGAATTTTCAGAAATAGATAATCACCTTAGTGTAACCTTGAATGACATGATCTGTCACTTTGCTTGGGTCGTACCATGCATTACGGACAGCCAATATACCAAATTTATCCATGACCAATCTTACCTATGTCACCATAGTCCAATCAAGAAAAGAATTCAACCTGACTATTTTCAATGCATAAAGAAATGCTTGTGAACTGGAAAAGTCTGCTATCTAGTGAGGCAGTGAGAGTCGATAAGCTAATTGGATTTTAGCTACTTTTGTTGACACATTTACTAAAGTATCCATTGAAGAGGATATTAACTAAAGCACTAGAGATTAAAAAAAAAAAAAAAACCTTACCAGCCTCACGCCAACTGATGATCGAAGAACAGCAACAACAGCTTTACAATATAAAGATCGAACAATACTACCTATTGCCCTAATCATGTTCATAAGAAACCCTGCAATCCACAAGCATAGCTCGAGGAATTTTCCCCAAATCCTATTGAGTGGATTTGTAGGCAAATTTGAACCATTAGAATCCTTCTTATTCTGCCATTCTTGTTCACCTACACCATACTCCTTCACACCTTTCCTCCTGAAAACTGGCACAAAAATGGCTGGTGCAACCAGCACAAGTGCAGCTACCCTTTCTGGTGCCTCAAAGTATGCCTCCACTGCCACAAGGCAACCAGCTGAGTGCCTGAATCCAAACCATCACACACATGTAATTCATCAGACAAAAAGTAATGCACACAGATTGAACTATAGAATAACACATGTTGTGTTACATCCGTACCCGACAAGGACGGCCTTCTTGGCACCGAGTTGGTCAATGAATGCCAAAGTGGCGATGACCATGGAGTAGGGGTTAATAGGCTTGGTGTCATCACCAGACCAGATGGTTCAGGATGTCAGACCAAAGGCAGGCCGATCAAAGGCAAGAACCTTGGCACCGGCAATGCGGGCTAGAGGGCGCATGATGTGGGTCCAAGAGAAGACCGACGAGCCAAACCCATGTAATAGCACTATGGGCAAACCAATTTGGTTTTGGTCAGCGTTTGTGATGGCAGAGTCTGCAGATTGGTCACTGGAATCCTCATGGGTGCAAACCTTGTGGTGGACCCTTATGCCATTGATCTCGTAGAAGCTGCTGTCCGGGTCGGCAAGGGCATCCGGGTCTAGGAGGTCATCCTGGTCAATGCCGGCCACACTCCGGTGGCGGCGGCGTGGTGGCATCTGGGCGATGTCTGGAACTGAACCTGCATTAGTCATAGGATTTAGTAGTGCCAAAGCTGTGCTGCTAGTTTTGGGAACATTTAAGCTTTTGGTGCTAGTTTCACCACCCAGATGAAAAATAGAGGGCAATAATGAGCCATTCGAAATCGCACGTTCTACTTGCAGAGAGCACATCAACTTCAAAATATCCCATTTTAAGAACCTCCTATCCAAATGCTGTAAGTCTTTCACGACAGAGAAGATAGTTACCTGGGAACTCGGCAGAGGCAAAGGCTGGGGGAGGACCATTGGGACGGCAGGGGCGGAGGCTGCGGGAGAAGGCGGCAGAATGTCGAGGGTGTGGAGCCGAGGGTGGAGATTGGAGATAGCATGGGAGAGGCACCTTTTGAGGCATCTGAATTGACCTGATAAACTGCAGAGCAGCAAACTCACATTTTCTGGACTGAACAATTGTGTGGGGTCCCAACGGAAGAAGCAAACCGAAAAATCAATCTGCATCCACACACTGCAAATTTGTATCGTCATCAAACAAAACAGTGCTCCAAATAACTATCAATCTATATTAGATGAATGCACACTACCATGCTCAGCAATCATTGGGCAACAAAATATCAAGTTTTAATCTCCCTAAAAAAAATCCAATCTTGAAGCAAGTAAAACATCTATGAGTTAAAAGCATGTGAACAATGCGAGCACAGAGGAAATAAAAAAGATGATATCAAAATAGAAAAGGTTGGTTATAGTAAGCTTAAGAGCATGTATAAGATCTGAGACAACTATAGTCTCTCGTGCATTATAGACGGTACCAAAAGACAGTTACTACAGCAGTTTGCCATATAAACCATCAAATGAAATAAATGAGAATTAGACTCATAGCTTTGGAAAATTATGTGTTAGTAGTACCAGATTGTAGAAATTGGCAGTAGAGCCTGGTCCCCTCTATGTGGAAATGGTAGCTACAGTGATGGGGTCTGACCATTTGGGCAAATTCCACATAATACTATAGCGATTGGCATGAAGTATGAACCACCTACTACCATAATCTTTATGAACACATACACAGTTATGAACAGCAACTATTAGTTGGGAATGAGTTGAATCGAGTGCAGAGGAGATTAGTGGCAGGAGTAAGTACCTTGCAGTCAGCAGTGGGGTTGCATCCACCGGAAGAGCAACGGCTGCGAGGCCATGGTGGGTTGCTCCTAGTCCTAGGCTAGCCGATGGAAGTCAGAGCAAAACCACAGTATTGCAGAGGGAGGGATAGCATGGGGAGCCTTCTGTCGGAGCTGGCTACCGTCGAGGCCGACGGCGACGGCGGCGGCGGCGGCGGCGGATTGGGAGCAAATCAACAATGTGGCAGCAGCAGAAGCAAACGCCAAACAAATCACAGCAAGGAGACTGCGGTGGACTGGTGGGTGGGCACGTTGCAGATAATGAGACAAAGACATCCACCAAGTGGGCCGTATTTTCACAAAAGCCCATCCAATGCCTGGAAAAGGAAAAAGTACACCGAAGGTCCCTCAACTTATCATCGGGATACAAAACCGTGCTCGAACCGCAAAACCATATATATATATATATATATATATATATAGAGGATCCCTTAAATATATAAAACCGGTCACAATAGGTCTCTCGGCGGTTTCGATCCCGGTTTTATCCTACGTGTCTAATGAGTCAGCGTGGGACCCACGTGGCCCCACATGTCAGCCTGTCCAGTCAGCCTCTATTTCTTTCCCCTCTTCTCTCCCTTCCCCTTCTCTCTCTCGCTCTTCTCTCTGGGGGCTCTGGGCAGGCCAGCGCCGCCGGCCGACGGGTGGGGAGGAGATCGACGGTGCGAGGTGGGAGAGGAGGTCCGGCGGCCGGCGACGTGGCGGCGGAGACGACGCGGGAGCAGGGGAACAAGGCGGCAGCGGCGGCGAGATGTCCACGGTGAGGTACTGGAGGCGGAGCTCCGTCGGGGCGGGGAGCGGGTCCACGGCGGCGGACGGCAGGCACGGGATCGCGTCGCGGCCCCACGCTGGCGCCAGCACCGGCGTCGCCCGCCCGCGCGCGATCTCCTCCACCGCCGTCATGAACTGCAATGCGCCGAGGGCCGATGCGGCGGCGGCGACGCCACCGATGGCTGTCGTCGGGCGGTCCGGGAGAGGCGACAGAGGAAGGAGAGATCGAGGATGACGGCGCCGTATCGGCGGGCGTGGCGCAGCAGTCAGTGTGCTACCACGGCGACAAGCAGTGGATGGTGTAGGTGTCGTGGGGGTTCGCGGTGGTGGTGACGCGCACGTTCCTCAACTGGTACCGCTGCGCCGACTACACGGCGTATGCCTTCAACACGTGGCCCGTGGCATGCCAGCCATGCCAGACGCCGCAGGTGTACTACATGCAGCAGTCCCGCCTCGACCGCCGCCGCAACACCACCGTCACTGTGTACGAGCGCCGCCGCGTCGTGCCTGCCAAGTGCGGCTGGCGCATCCGTGACCCTGCCGCTCTGCTCGACCGCGTCATCGTCCTCAAGAAGCCCGACCCCGACCTCTAGAAAAGGGTAATCAAACACACACCGTAGTTAAAAGGCTGAATTGATTTGTACGTACAACAAAAAAAACCTTGATTTTTTGTAATATTGCTCTTAAACCGGCGCGCGTGCAGTCTCCAAGGAGGAATTGCTGTAGGGTGATGTCGTCACCCAAGCAAGGGAAGGACCGGAAGATAACCATCGATGTTGGCGTCTGCAGGGCGGGAGGTCAAAGTGAGTGTGTGAGCCGGGAGGCCGCCGGGCGTCGGCCGGACGCGCTGACGCGGGACGGAGAGGGCGCGGCCGCGCGGGCACCGGTGTGGCGTGTGAAGGCAGCGGGAGGCGTGCGCCGCCGCCGCCGCCTGCACACCCGCGTCGTTCCTGTCTCACTACCGCCTTCTCGGGCCCATATTCGGCCATCGAGGAGCTTCGCCGGGCCGCTGCCGGGGTCTCCGTCCTCGACCTCGCCCGCGCGGCGACGCCCTCCCCTTCTCCCATGTCGCCGCCGACGCCGACGCCAACGCCCTTCCTTCTCCCCTCCCCCGTCGCGGCCCCCGCCGCTGCCAGCCGTCGCCGTGGACGCGCTACCCCCGCCTCGCCGCGGCGCTGTGGAGGCGCTACCGCCGCAGCTGCCGACGCGCCGACGCGCTACCGCCTGGGTGTGTGACTGTGTGTAGAAGAGAGGAGGAAGGGGGAGGCTGACGTGGATTGACTGACATGTGGGGCCTACGTGGGGCCCACGCTGACTCAGCCGCCACATCGGACAAAACCAGGGTTAAAACCACCGAGAGACCTAAAACGAACGGTTTTGTTAGGTTTTGTTAGTAGAGGGACGCCCGGTATCTGGTTTTGCGATTGGGGGACGATTTTGTATCTCGATGACAAGTTGAGGGACCTTGCGTGTACTTTTTCCGCCTGGAAAACAATACTAGTTATGGGCCAGATCTGTCGGCCCGGTCCACGTTATTGGGTTCGGTACGTGGAGTGGAGCCCCACCTCCAGCTCCTGATTCCTGTCATCGCTGTTGCCAGCTTTTAAAGCAAACCAGCAGATTACCAGACAGAGGGAGGAGGGCATTTCTTCTCTCTTGGTATTTATTTTTCCCTTTTTTATGTTTATGCATCTGCACCCACTAGTTCCTCGCATATTGCATTACCATCATTGTAGATATTTCATATATTTGATTACAACTATGTATTACTCCTCTGTCCTAAAATATACTCCGTCCGTCCTAAAAGAAAAACCAACCTAGGAGATGTGACCCCTCCTAGCACAACGAATCTAGATATAGGTCCAGATTCGTCGTACTAGGAGGAATCTCCTCCTAGATTGGCTGTTTTTGAACGGAAAGAGTACTGTTTTTAGCCTTTAGAATTTATTTCAAAATATAATAGCTTATGTACCAATATTCTCTTACTAATCAATCATAACCCTCTACCATTCCATTTCTTTACCTACCTATACTTCTTATCCAATCACAACCTTATTTTTAGAACTCATGCTATTTATTTATATAATAAAAGGTTTTAAAACAGAGTGCAGGAGCTATAGGTACATCTCCCTTCGGAATAAGAAGTCATTTTTTAACATGATAACCAGCCCTTTAACATATATGGGAAATATTAGAACAGTCAAAAGCCATTTGATTTTGGCTTGGTAATCGTCTAGCTAATTTTGGCAAACTATCCGCCAGCCTATTCATTCTCTGGAGATCCATTAAATTTGAATGTCTCTTCCCTACAAAATGTTACTCTATGTACCTTTGACAAAGCGGGTCTCAAGGACCGAGTCCTGGATCGATTATGTAGGGGCTATTCAGATTGATGATATTTTCAATCATACTATTTTTTTTAAAGTTATCTAAAATGTGTCTTCATTTAGTTTTTTTTGCTAAACTTTAATAAATACATAAGAAATCCTGTCAAAATTTTGGTAATATTGTCAAAATTTAGTAAGGTTTATTTTGGCTACAATTTAAACAACTCCGTAGTCTTCTTTTTGAATTGTTACCTAATTTGGTAAATAATTCAATTTATCCAGAGGCGAGGGTTTCATATGCAAAAGCAGCGATGACTGACAGTTTGCAGGGGGAAAGGTGGCGAGGCATCAGAGTTGGGTTGGTTGCTCTCCTCCTCTCTTCTCTTTGTGGTCGGTCGGTCGGTCTCCTCCCACCACCCGCCGCCGCCGCCATGGCCTACCGCCGGAAGCAGGGCCCCATCGCCGCCGATGATCGCCGGAGCTCCTACCCCCAGTCGCCGCAGGCATGCACCCCCCCCCCCCCGTCTCTCACTCTTCAGCTTGCTTGTAGTACTGCAGTATAGGCTATAGCCCAGTCTTCAATCCCTGTTGATCGGATCAAATTAGATTTTTTTTTTGGTCGCTGATCTTAATTTATTTGAGGACAAGCTTGTCTAGTAAAGAACACTGATTTCCCCTAAACCAGTATAGTAATCCTCCTATGTTTAACTGCAGATTACTATTATTTCATTCTGGGGAAAAAATAACCGCAAGATTACTTGTTTTGTTGTGAGATAATTAGAATCAATTTCTTAAGCCTATCAATCAGATCATCACAGTTCCTTAAGAAACCACCATATGATTCTGATTCGACCACCTTCGGCTACTCTCTGGCTGGTTGATCATTTTGGTCCTTAATGTACAAACTCCTTAAATCATCCCATCTGTTTATCACCTACAGATAAACAAAACATTTTGTTCCAAAAGGATAAAAGAAATCACTACCTGATGTTGGTCTCTAATGATCACTTTGCACCGTCCTTTCAGATGTCTGTGTGTGTCTCACAAGTCACAAATGATGTATCCTAAGCATGTCAATTTCTCTGAATAGGGCTCTTCTTCATCGTACAGTTACACATCAATCAAAAGTATGAACGAGCCCAAGCTTGGGCTATGGGAAACTTTGGCAAGAAAAGCCAAGGGAATTCTTGATGAGGATGGCGTGGCACATAAGTCTGACGAGTACACAAAAGAGAAGACCCCTCGCAAGTTTGATTCATCCACTGGAGCTCAGGTGAGGTGGCAAGTATTATAAAAACAAAGCAGAATAATTAGGATATCTTGATGTTCCAAGTTGCATTTATGTTCACATTGTTCTCAAAATTTGTGATATTTATCAGGAATCTCAATCTCGCTGGTCATTCGAAAACCACAGCAAGACAGGGGATACTGGATCCCGGACAAGGTCGGAAGCTCTTGCTGCTTCTGTCAACCAACTTGGTGGAAGAATCAGAGATGCCTTGGAAGTAATGTCCTATTTTTAGCTCAATTCAGCTCTTTATATTTAGCATAACTAATGGCACAACCCATCTGATTGCTTTCTTAACTCTACATCTCTCTTTGCTGTTGTTCTGGATTTTCTGGGATTTCCATTTGCTCTCGTTTAGTATCGCATTGGTTTCAATAACCTCTTGTTCTCTTCTTTCTTTAACAGGAAGGACTCACAATTGTGGACAATAAGACATCCAATATCATTGAGGAGACAAAGAAGATACAAATTAGAAGGAAGCAAGCCAATTCGAATTCTTATGTGCCGAACCTAGCATTTGATACATTAAGACCTCCTAATCTTTCAAATGATCAAGCTGAAACTGCAGCCCAGGAAACCCAATTAAAAGCTTCTCGCGATGTAAGGTGCCACATACTGGGTCTAGTAGTGGAAGTTTAAAGTACAGAAACTAGGACCTTTTTAATATGGCAAAACCTTTGCTATGCTTGTACTTAAAAAGTATTAATACTTATTTTCCTTTTGCTATGTTCTTGGTTATCAGTTTTTATGGTTAATATGGCTTGAAATAAGACGTCTTATTTTTCTTCCCATGTATTTAGACAAACATTTTCAGATTAGTGATGCCTTTCTCGTATCCCCCCAAAATGTTTCAGGTTGCTAATGCAATGGCTGCTAAAGCAAAACTTGTGCTCCGTGAACTAAAAACAGTAAAAGCTGATCTAGCTTTTGCGAAGCAGCGATGTGCTCAGCTAGAAGAGGAGAACAAGTTCTTGCGAGAAGCAAAGCAGAAAGGGAGCAAAACTGAAGAGGATGATGACCTGGTATGTTAATGTTTTCCAAGCAAGTAACCCTGGAATTATTTTATTCTCATGATAAAGTTATCAGAACTACTTTCTTCTTGATGGTAAATTTGTGATGACTCATCCTAAAACTCTGGCTATGATCATTGAAAAGTTTGAAATTTCTTCTTTCCCTTGCATTTCTGGACAATTTTGAAAAAGATATGCAAATTTTGTAGTACGTTGCACAATGTGGTCGGTTGATATGAAAGCCTGATGTATTGCTGATGAAAATTTGAACCACTATATCATGTCAGATAAACTATTAAGCATTGGTACTTTAAGCTGATTATTAACTTCACACTTAGAAGAGGTTCATTGCTTGTGTACAACAGATTTTAGTTATTTTTTTCTTATCACTGTTCAGTAATGAGTAAAACATGTCTTATACATATTTAAAATATGTGCCTGAAGAACATGCTACTGAACAGATTCGTGTGCAACTGGAGACCTTATTGGCCGAGAAATCAAGACTGGCGCAGGAAAACTCCATGTACGCACGCGAAAATCGTTTCTTGCGTGAGATAGTAGATTTTCATCAATTCACCACCCACGATGTTGCCCCCTTGGATGATGGTGACATGGAAGACAGTATACCAGGAGAAGATAGCAATCACACTTACTCAGAAGATATGTTTCCTGTAGTTGAGGCTTATTTAGATCGTGAAGAACTATCTCCTGTCCCCTCAAGGCCTGAATCTCCAATCCTCAGCTCATGTGAGTCATCATCCCCCAAATCCAGCAATTCTAAAAGCAGTGCTGCCAATTTACCAAGCAATGTCTCAGCCAAATGCATTGGTACCTGACACAGATTGACGCATGTTATTTGTTGTCCTCTCTGGGTCTGGAATTGGTTTGATTGTGACTGCTGTGCATATTGTTTTTGTCCATTCTTTATCCACATTGGTTTGCAAATGTAATTTAATTATAGGTTTCTGGTTTTGTGTATGGTTTGGGTTCTGTCTAGGTTTGGTGAAATTGACCGGTGTGAATACATAGATAAAGTTTACAATTCTCAGTATAGGGTTTGAGTTCCATGTTGGGTTGGTAAAACAACTGACTGGTGTGAATAGACGAAATGAGAAAAAAAAATCAAGAGTGAGTTTACCACTTGTATATTGAGATTGGTGCATGACTAAATGAAATACAGTTTTGTCACTTCACATTGTACATGACTCTAGACCCTTTGAATTGAATCTATTGTTCCATTCTGGTGTTCGATTTACTGTTGGTTATCATATCAATTTGCATGATCCATTATTCTGTTTACAAGTAAATACGATTGCTACTGTCATTGCTTATGGCTTCAGCCAACATTTCCAAATGTAAGTATTGGGCCAAAAACGAGTGAGTAAAGGCAACATTTACACCTATATGTGCAGAAGCCCATCCTGATAAGCAGGAGTGCATTTGTTACCAGACAGAGCTGTTGATAAATTATTTGCCGACATTCAGCACATCCAGGGGATTGATCGATCGAGATGAGACCACTGTAGAGTATATATGCTTGCATTTGTTAGGTGAGGTCCGTGAGGAATATCAGATCCGTTGCGAGATCAAACCACTGTACTCTGTAGAATACTTTCCGTTGGTTTTCCTTCAGACTTTCAGTACGCCATGCTAACTAAACCAGCTAGGCTTGCCAAGAAGAACATAGTCACCTGCTTGATTCCAGCTTCACTACGTACACAAAAGTCAAAAGGATTTGCCAGTTTGTGTTAGCAAGTTCCTTCGCAATGTCGGCCATCAAAAGGATCATCGCGTGCTGTGTTGCATGGGGCGAAAATGGTATTGGAAATTTCTGACCGATCGAGGCTCGTCTCCGATGTTCTATCGAATGAACTATTTTGAAACGATAACCAATAAAAATAAAAATATAAGCAGTAAATAATACGGAACAATTTTGCTATTCTACCATCTGTTTACTTATCTTTATCATATTTATGTGGAAATTACCGTTTTTATAATACAGTAAATACCGTATTTCTAAAAATAACATATTATCTATGGTCAATGTATCTATTTGGCTCATAGTTTAGAGGTCCATTGACTCCTCAACCAAATCTCTAATAATTTGAGTATATAGCTAAAGGAGAAGGTTTGTAATTTACGTAGGTGTGAGCTTGAATTTACGTGGTCATATTATATAGTCACAATAAATTACAAATGTGATTTTACGGTTTAATGTTTTTGACACGGTTTATGATCAATACCAGCATGATTCTGTCATTCTGCTTGTGATTTCCTAATATTCTCAGTTTTTTTTTTATTTTGGGCTCTACCTTTTTAATTCCATTTCCAAGAAAAATGAAATGATTACGGAAATGGTTAAGTCTATTTTCCGACCATTTTTCACACCCCGTATATTCACTACTTAAAATGTACTCTGTCTTGATCAAGTAGGGGAAATAAAAGCAATTTTGAAGAGCAGAATGGTTTCTGAATTCTCCTCCTTAATTTTGTGGCCTAAGCTAGCTTGTGTACATCGGTACATATTTATGACTCTCAGAAGGAACAAGAGGACAATGGTCCTTGCCAGCATGTATGCATGTGTGAGGCCGGCCAAGAACATGACAAATTTTGATTGACCACCCTGGTAGCTAGTAGTACCCATAGATTGCACCCATAAGTCCACGCATTGGGGATCAAATGTATTGCACATTGATGATTGCAATAACACCACTATCAAACCTTCTCCTGCATGTTCTGGACCACCATGGTTGTATTTACGTAGTACAAATTAAGGTGCTGGTTGGAATAGTAATTTACTGTCTAATGTCTGAATTTATAGAGAAGAACCCATCATTCACTTGTGAATACTGTTTTTGATAAATTCATATACTCCCTATTGCAGATGATTTTGAGCTCGTTGTCATCCTCATATAGACATCATTTGTTAATTAATTGCATGAATAATTCTTCACGGGCTCGCGGCAACGTGGGACCAGCTCTCCTTTACTCAATCTGTCATTGTCAAGAGCATTGTTAATGTTTAGAATTAGTACTTTCTTGAAATAATTAGGTTTCATCAATGGCATTTGACTTGTGTTTTGTAATTTAAGTTGACCTCCTCTGATAGTACTGTACTACTCCGTTCGTCCGTAAATATGATCGATGCACAAGACACTATAGAGGATAAACTAGAGTCAGCAATAAAAGTCTTCGCTGCAAAGTCTCCGGGAAACAAAATATGCAAAACCACTTAGCTAGAGCGGCCCATTCTTGCAATTAAGCGCTAACTATTGTTTAAGCAATTGCCTATAAGTATTAGATCCTGTTTGTTTCAGTTTAAAATTATTGTAATCTAGATTATTAAATCAGATTACTTTAAGTTGAATTATAATAAACTGATGTAGAATAAGATGCAGAGTTATTTGTTTCTCTGGATTATTAGAGGCATATAAGGGTAGTGGGTCTTTAGCCACTTAATAATCTGGAAAAAACTCCTCCATAAAAGATTATTAGATTATACTAATGTGACTTATAGATTATAATAATCTAGCATAATAATCTACTTCTTTGTTTCAGCTTACTTCTAATAATCCAGATTATAATAATACTAAGCTAAATCAAATAGGTCCTTAGCCAATTACTTGGATTTGGAATTCAAAGATTACAAATTACCTAAAATTATTTATCATTTGTATCGGAGCTAGTGTCGTCAGCTTAATTAGAAGCTGTATAATGGCCGGACGCTTCGATTAGTTTGTGCATTCGACTTAATCTGGTGTGAGCATTTTGTCGCATATGACTGGTTTGGTTTGAGGCCTAAATTGACCTTACCAATATTTGACAATTTTAATAGTGTTTAGTGTCTATTTGGTTTGAAGCCAAATTTTGACATGCCTAAGAAAATAGGCCATTTCAATAGTTAACTTAGACTATTTTGGCTTCAATCCAAACATAAATTTATCTTGCCAAAATTAGCCATGCCAAAACTTACCAAAATTTAGCATTGATAAAAATTGGTAAGGCCAATTTAGTTCACAAACCAAACTAGCCCATAAGGTGTTATGGTGTAAGTGGGTTATAAAGTTTTTAGTCAGTGATGAGTGCGTGATTAGTCATTGTTTCTAGCCAACTGGATCATGAATCATGGTCCCAAAATGAGCCCAATCATCACTTCACGTATAGAAATGTGCATATCCATTTGGTAGCGTCTGGTGCTGTCTTCTTTTGATCCCTTGGACACTAGGGATGTAGGCAGGGCGGGCAAGCGGGTTATTTTAGTCTGCTTATCTCACTTCTAATTCATTTTTTCTTCTAAATTTTGTACTACCATGTAAAAAATAAGGGTGTGTTCGGTGGATATAGCTGTGGTTATACAGCCACATCATCTTCCAGAAATACAATAAAATTTAATTTGTATTGGTTTATACTGTACTACAGCCAGCCACAGTCATAACTGGCTGTAATCACTACTAGAAAAAGGCTTTTCCCAGACAGCCAAATCATATTTTCACAGGCAGACAAGCCATCCGCCTGCAGCTCAACGCCTGCGAAAATAGTTGATTTTCGCAGGCGAGCAACATGTCCGACTGCGAAAATATCGTCGAGCGGTTGATTTTCACAGGCGGGCAACATGTCCGACTGCGAAAATATCGTCGAGCGCTAAAAAAAAATTGGCAGCCACCGTCGGACGGCAGTAGCTTCCCGTTCCAAATCCATTCCCCATCCAATCCCCATCCAATTCATCCCCATCCAATCCATTCAATTCATCCAAAATCACCATCCCCATCCAATCCATTCAATTCATCCAAAATCACCGAATCAATTGTAGCAAAGAAAGCAAATAAAGACATTCAAAAAAATCACGGCCGCCACCTAGCCGTCGTCCGCCACCGCCCAGCCGTCGTCCGTCGCCGCCGCTGCATGTCCGCGCCACGCCGTCGTCCGCCGCTGCATGTCCGCGCTGCGCCGTCGTCTGCCGCCGCCGCACGGCCGCGGCCTGCTGTCGTCCGCACCGCCACCGCCGCCTCAACCCCCCTCGCCGCCGTGGCCGCGCCGCCTCGTCCCTCCTCGCCGCCACCGCCCGCCGCCGTGCTCCTCCCACCCCCCTCCGGCCAGATCTGGGAGGGAGGGGCCGGGAGCCGCCAGCCACCGCTCTCCCCCCGCCCCCTCTGGCCAGATCTGGGAGGGAGGGGCCGGGAGCCGCGCCGCCTCGACCCTCCTCGCCGCTGCCGCCCTCCGCCGCGGGAGGGAGGGGCGCGTCCGCCGCCATCGCCGGGAGCACACGCCGCCATCGCCCCGCGCCCGGCCGCCGGCCTCCCCCCTCCCCCCTTCCGGCCAGATCTGGAGGGGAGGAAGGGAGGGAGGGGAGCCGCTTAAGTGGTCTGCCTGCAAAAATAGATTTTCGCAAGCGGACATCAAATTTCACCCCGACTTATATTTTTATAGGCGGTCATTTGGCTCTAAGCGTTATGTCCGCCTGCGAAAATAAGACCCCTATGTTGGGAAAAATGTTTTTTCTAGTAGTGAATGTAGCTCAAGCGAACAAGCCCTAAACTAGCAAGTGAGTTTTTATGCGGGTAGCGGGACTACTCACTTGCATCCCTATTGGACACCAAGTGAGCAGTATTATTGTCTATTAGTAGCCATTGGCGGATCCATCATAGGGGTGGTAGGGTCTCGAGCCTTTACTACTGACGCTGTAACCATGGGCCGGGAGCCCCGATTAAGCTCGCACTAATTTTTTTTGTCATATACTATTAGAAGAGGGGGCTATAGTTTTGTAAAATTTGTTCAACCCCTCCATTCCTAGATCCGCCTAGCACTAGGGAAAGATGAAACTAAAGACACGAGCAAGATGGAAGGAAGAGATGATAACAAGTTAATTGCGTCACATATAAGACATCATCTCATCGCCATGATAATGCACTAATGCTAGCTTCACTCTTGAGCAAAAACAAATCCTCAAAGTGCCAAAGAAACAAAGAAGAGCAGTGCCAATCACACAATCTTTTCCGAGTGCTGATCAAGAACCAACCGCACAAGAAGATGATGAGCTTCTTTGCCACGTGGAACCACTTTTATTTTTTTTGTTTGTTTTGGTTTTGGAAAAGCCCCTGAGCTCGACAGTTAACGTTGGAAAAGAGATTATTGTTCTGGTTCGGTATCATTCTCACTGGTCGTTGGAAAAGCTCTTGCTTTGCTGGACGCCTTGAAGTTGCAGGTGGGCCCTACAGGTCAGCCTCTGAGGACTTTTTACATCAAGCACCCTCTCACCTTGCAGAATAGGGACTAGGGAGTTGCACAAAAGCCCCTCGGAAGAATCGAAACGTTAGAAAAGAGGACACGTCGCCAAAAGCGCACACAGACCAACTGACAGCCTGGACCCACAACTCAGCCGTCCAGGCCAGGGGCAAAGCAGTAAATTCTGGTGGGCGGTGTGCCAACTGTAATCCCGTGTCTTTTACCCGGAAACACAACATAAACATTTCCATATAACCCCCTCATAAAAATGTGCAATTCACATAGAAGCCCTCACCATCATCTCCATTTCTAAAGCCTCTCTCTCTCTCCATTGCTTCACTCTCGCCATCAAATCCCCAAACCCCTCCTCCTTCTCTCCAAGTCCTCGTCTTGGTTGTCGCAATCATTCGTGGGGCGCGTTAATCCCTCCCCAAATTCTGTGGCAGCCAGCTTCCCCGCTTGCTTGGATTGGATTTCTCCAAGATTGATTCGTTCCCTCCCAATTCTTCACTTCCTCTATCCATTTCCAATCCAATCTTGGTTTTTTGCATTGTTTCCTCCCGATTTGTCTTCCTCTCGCTCTCCCTCTCCCACCATATCTTGGACTCGGTCCTATCTGTCCGTGCCTCGCTTCCATCGCCATTGCTCTTTTGCTGCTAAAGTCTTCTCTTTGGAGGGAGAGACTGGGACTGGGAGCTAGCTCGCCCTTGTGTTGTTCAGGGAGTAAATGCGCGTCCTTGGTGGTGCTTGGTCCCAGCATTTTCCGCCCCAAATCTCGTCCTTGCTGCCCCGACTTAAGTGGTGGAGATTCCGTCACCGGCGGTCGTAGATGAGGAGGAGGAGATCCTCCTCCTGATCTACTCTTCTTCTTCTTCTTCTTCTTCAGCTCCTGGCTGCTGCTGCTCCACTCCCCCTGATCCCCCTGCAGGAGCATGGATTTCTTGGCCTGCGTCTGCCTCCTCCACCTGCTCTTCTTGGCCACTTCCCGGGTGGCGGCGCAGGCGTCGTCGCCGGCCAGGGCCCTGGACGCAATGCTGCAGGACCACGCGTACCGGGCCTTCGTGCACCCGCACACTGGCATTGTCTACAACGCCACCGTCCCGGCCAACCTCACCGGCGTCGCCCTGTCCGCGGTCCGCCTTCGCAGCGGCAGCCTGCGGAGGAAAGGTTTCTCCGACTACTTCGACTTCACCGTCCCCACCGGCATCGTCGTGCAGCCGTACGTCGAGAGGGTGGTGCTCGTCTACCACAATCTCGGCAATTGGTCTGACCACTACTACCCGCTGCCCGGGTACACATACCTCTCGCCGGTGCTCGGGCTGCTTCTCTACGACGCGGCCAACTTGTCGGCGGTGGGGTTGCAGGAGCTGAGCTTTGTCGCCTCCGGGAGCCCAATTTCTATAAATTTCAGTGATGTTAGATCGGTGCCGGCAGGCGGTCCAGCTCCTCGGTGCGTGTGGTTTGATTTGGATGGTGTGCCACAATTCCGGGACTTAGAGGCAAGCAATGTGTGCTCGACGTACCGCCGAGGGCATTTCTCGATAGTGGTGAACTCTAGCGCGATTCCTCCTGGTCCAGTGCCTTCAGGCAACATTACACCGCCAATACCGACTCCTACAGGTCGTTCTAAGGGCAGCTCCAAGGGGTGGAAGATTGCTGTTGGCGTGGTTGGGGGCGTCATAGCATTGGTCCTGTTGGCGTCGCTTGTGGTTTGTTTGGCAAGGTACAAAAGAGATAAGAAATTGGAACTGATGGAACAGAATGCAGAGACTGGGGAGACATTGCGTATGGCACAGGTTGGGAGGTCACAAGCGCCTGTAGCACTGGGGACAAGAACACAACCGGTGATTGAGAGCGAGTATGTTGCATAGATGTTTTCTTGACATTTCAGCGGAATTCAGGCAAGCATGGGATTGCTCTTCGGTCGGATGAGGCAACAAGTGTTCCATATCAATGAGTGCGGCACAAATTGCTAGATGTAGGGCATAGTCTTGGCTCATGAGACTTAACACATTCTTTTAACAGTTTTGTTTGGAGGGTTATTTGTTCTGCAATGGCTCATGTTGATGTTCATAATTGCCATGTTCATAGTGAGGAGCTCTTTTCATCTCCAAGCAAGCAATGGGGAAGAAATGGTTGTTGTGTCAGATTTGGAATCCCTTATTTTTTGGATTGCTGTATTCAAAAGGATATGGGCTTGGCAATAAAGGTGAGGGAATTTTATTGTGCATTTCATTTTGCTACTTCAGTGAAATTCGTTCAAGCTTAAGCGATTTCGTTTTTGTGTATTTTGGCTCCTCATGTTTAGAGACCTTGTAAGGTACAATTGTACATGTTTAGTTGTTTAATTGATTTGATAACTAGTCTGATAAATTAGATTTCATCCTTGCTTGTTTTAACCACCAGTCTGTATGCTGTGACAAATTTCCATCATATTCTTCCTAGTTATCTTCTTCTAGGTCAGACATTATGGCCAATCTCTAAAGAAATATTAGAAGTCTAAACACGATACTTACCAGAATTATTCTTCAGAACTAATATGATATCCTTTTAGTTCCTGTTGGCCTGAGTTTCTGTTGATCATATTTCTCTTTTAGCAGCTTGAATTTAAGCATTTGAAACAGAAAAATAAGGTTATTATAAGTATAATCTGATGGCAGGCGATGAATTAAACAGAGGGATTGAAGAAAGCTCTGTTAGCAAAATGAATAAGTCTGTATCTTTTTCCTTGGTTTAATTTCGGTTGGTCTACTTTTGTCAAGCGTAGAGGTGTCATTGGGGATTTGGATGATCAATGAGGAAGACAATATGCGTTCTATCTGTATAAATTAGTGGCAATATGTTACATAATTCATTTGTTTCTTATTGTCCATCCTGTGCCCACCTCACTGAACTATGAAAGAGGAAAATATACTGAACTCGATTGTAGTTTTGTAGCTCAAAATGTGTAATAAAAGCGAAGCACATCAAAAGAGCGCATGTATAATCTGTCAAATGAGTTCTGGATAATGCTCTGAATTTTTAGGGGGCGTGAGCTGCTCTTTTTGCATCTTGAAATTTATGTTGGACATCATGCTAGCATGAAGAATTTAGCTGTTGCTTGTAGATGTCTTGTATTGATGGAATCCAGTTCCCAATTCAAATTAGGTGCCCACATTCTCTGAAAGTTCCTTTTTAGCTGTACTGTACTGTGGTGATATTGTAGTGTTTGGCAGAAGCAACCTGTAGTAGTAAATTAGTAACACTTGCTGCTTTGACAAGCATATGTCTAGGGTAATTAGCTAGCCCTGCACACAAGTGAGTGGCATCTTTGATAGCCTTACAACTGAAGGGCAGGTCCAGCCAGATATGCCAGCCAGCCAGCTGAAATGGATCAAACAAAATGCTTAGGGACCTAGGGAAAACAAGTGTGCCAAGCCTCTTGTTTGGCTGGAGAAACCAGCAGCTGGCTAGAGAGGGAGTGTTTTGTGTAATGGGAGATAAGAATGTATGGCTGAACTGAACTGAACGTATAATTACTTGATTGTGCTGGTAGTTTTTGTGTTTTGTGTCAGGTAATTTTTGAAGGTGGTGCGTCTCAGCTAAGCAGAATCTTTTGCTGTGACACAAACTGATCACAGCTCATAGATCATGTGGCCGCCTATTTCCTCATGATTATGCGTGTTTTCTAATGTGACTGGCTGCATTCGCTTTGTAATGCTGTACTGGAGTGCTTGTTTAGTTAAATCAGGTGTTGGAGTATGAGCTGTTGTTTTTGTGTGTTAATTAACCACTGCAGCTGGTTTGACACGTTTTGTTGGAGCGACTGTAAAACCATTGGGTAGCAGGATAGTAGCACAGCTTCAGAGCTACTGTTTCCATCAAGATTCATCAAATAGAAAAGGAGCTAACCTGCTTCTGAAAATTTTTGAAGAGTAAGGTCTGCTTAGTAGCTGAACAATATGTACTGGTTGGTACTTGGTAGGTAGATTATATGCATTTGATAAATCGTTGACTAACAGTGGTAGTAGTAGTATGAACTGAACCTCGGATTGAAGATTATGAGGTTGTTAGGAGATTAGTCGTGATCAGCATGTGTGATGAGACAATTGTTTTGAAATTAGTCTATCTGAAACTATGTCCAGGTATTGGTGGAATGGTCCACAACTAGTGGCAACAAGACAGTGAGGATCGTGGACTCGGAGTAGTTGTGAGTTTAATTAACTTAGTTAATGATAATGATGGAGCCCTAGATTATGATAGTCGCCATGAGCCCAATTCTTTTCTGGGCCATAAGACTTGCTTCCCATAATTTCCTAAAGTGGGCCGAAACTGGAGTACGTCCTTTTCAATTAGGAATAAGTTCACTTGAGGTCCCTCAATTTATCGCCGAGTTTGAAATTCGTCCCTTGAGCGTAAAACCAGGTACTACAAATCCCCCAACTTACAAAACCGTGCAAACGAGGTCCCTCGGCAGTATTGTGCCCGGTTTTGGCTAATGTGGCGCTGATGTGGCAATTTGATCTAAACAAAAATTTAAACCATGGGACCCATATGTCAGCTACACAAGAAATAATAAAAAATAGTGGGCCCCATGTGGGCCCACATGTCATCCTCACACCTACCTCTTCTCTCTATCCCCCTCTCTCTCCTGTGCACTGCAGAAGGGCGGAGCGGCGGCGCAGAGGGGCGAGGGGTGGAGCGAACGGGAGCTACAGCAAGCGGAGCAGAGGGGTGGTGGGCGACGGGTGAGCTCCTCGCCCTCTCCACCTCCTACTCCTCCCTCTTTTTTCTATCCTCTCTCTCTCTCCCTTCCCCTCCCCCTGCACTGCAACTCTGCAAGAAGAAGGCGGAACGGCTGCGGGCTGCGCAGAGGGCATCCCGTGTGCTTACGTCGTATCTAAGAATAGTTGATAGTAAAAGGATTATTTAACGGAGTAAGAGAGACATATTCAATATATGAATTATAATTTTAATTTTATAGGCATGGCAATTTGCAGAAACAAGCTAGAACAACATTTTACTAGCATTCCAATAGTAAATAGGAGTTTCAGAAGTAAATTAGTAAAAAAAATTACACAACCAAATGCAGCAAAGTACAGACGAGCAATCTGCAAATCCAACACTCACTTGGCCTCCACCTCGCTGTTCTCAAGGGCGGATCCAGCATGGGGCGGCGGGTCTCGAGCCTCCACGAAAACCCCACTAACATTTTTTACTACATGTAAATAGGAGGGGATTGTAACTCTATCAGTAGGCGGAGTTCACCGCCACTCCCCCGCTACCCTGGCGATGCTGACCGCCCCGAGCACCACCACACCTGCCACCGTCGTGGTCTACACCCCCCGCAGTGCGCAGCCCGAACACGTGACGTGCGTACCCGGGCACTGCGGCATGAACGACAACATGAACGATTTTCTCCTATACACGTGCGGTACTGCATGAACGACTGCACTACACACAAAAGAACTATATATAATCTCAGATCCCAAGCTACACAAAAGTACAATTAATCACATACTACTTCCTCCGTTTCACAATGTAAGTCATTCTAGCATTTCCCACATATATATATATATATATATATATATATATATATATATATATATATATATATATATTCATCAACATCAATATGAATGTGGGAAATGTTAGAATGATTTACATTGTGAAACGGAGGGAGTACTACGCAAGAGTAGACGGTGAAAACAAGCCTTTGATCCAATTTCGAGGTCGTTAAAGCATGCAGCTCAAATCTACTCCCTCCTTCCCAAAATAACTTAATTTCTAGGTTTTCGTGTCCAACGTTTGACTATCCGTCTTATTTGAAAAAAATTATGAAAAAAATTTAAAAAAGATAAGTTACGCACAAAATATTATTCATGTTTTATCATCTAACAACAATAAAAATACTAATCATAAAAAAAATTATATAAGACGGACGGTCAAACGTTGAACACGGAAACTCAGGAATTGAGTTTTTTTGGACGGAGGAGTATACTACTTAACTTTATATCGTGCATGTAAAGACGATACACAGGAAGTTTCCACGCTTTGACCTCCTTTTCTTGCATAGTAGAGTAACGCCAATTTTGAAGGGAAAGGAACAGGCTAGAAATACATCGATATATTTTTTTTTGTATTTTGTCAGAGGTCAAGAATACCTGGTATGAAAAGTTGAGGGTGAAAAATATTTAATTTTGTAGTTCAGGGGAGTAATTTGTATTGCCGTAATAGTTCAGAAAGTAATTTAGACATTTTCTTATCATATACTGAATGTCTGAATACTCCCTCTGTCCTATAAAAACCAACCTAGTACTGAATGTGATATATCCTACTGCTACAAATCTGGACATATCTCTATTCAGATTCGTTGTACTATAATATGTTCCATCCAGTACTAGATTTGTTTTTTCCGGGACAGAGGAAGTATGGTCTTACTTTCATCGAATTTTGTGCCAACATGTCTCAACGTGTCCAGCCCACTAACATTTTACTCCCCACTGCCTTGACCAACCTGTGCCTGCATGCCAAGGAGATCGAACTGGTTAGGTTCAAGCTCTGAGAGACTCAGACAGTCAACCACTCGCAGGCATGTTATAGTAGTATGTGCAGTTTGTGATATATACATGGCGCCATATATAGAGAAGACAATTAAAAGAGCCATGACCCTCACAGAGCGCTATTAGTGTTATGTAGCAAATGTAAATTGCTTTTTCAGAAAGGCATTTGAAAGCATCGATCAATCAGCAGCAAAAACAGCTCAAAGCTTTAGCACATTTGCATTTTACTTTGCTGTCCTTTCCCCATCTGATCTATCTCATCTCTGAAAAGAAAATTTTCACAAAGAAAGTTTGGAGGGAGGGAAATAACACACACGGACAGAGAGACTGATTGATCAAGTGAATCATAATCACTGCTTGGATCATATGTATTCTCGATGATCAAATGACAGGGTAAGTTTTGCACGAGCGCAACAGTAGCCTGGATGCTTGCTTGATGTGCAAAATCTGTAGGCAGCCAAGCATGAATGCAAAGAATCTGTGAGAGGAAATGATCAATGGCACGGTTCGTGCTTCTGACCGGCAATGGAGTATGAACAAGCAGTATAGGCTGCTGAGTAATCGAGTCGGGTTGTCTTGTGGCTTTCTCATGGTGGACCTGACCAAACAAAGCCCGATCAAAGCTAGTAGCTCTTCTCCTCGATATCCTCTCTGCAAAAGCAAAAGCAAAAGCCAAAGGAAGAAAAGTTAGAGCTGTCCATTCTCTCTACTCTAGTACGAGTAGATCAGTGGACAAGGAGCCATGGCAGCCAAAGCATCCGAATCATTTCCTTCACCGACAGCCTTCAACCCCACTCCTCTCTCCATTCTCTACTGCATGCTGCTACAAATTGCAGTAGCATGGATTTTCTACAGTTACATGGCACTTGAAACATTGTGAAATTTCACCTCCTAAAACAGATACAGAGCATAACATACTTGGGAGCCAGTAAAAATTAGACCACAATTTAGTTGTTAAGGAGAAAAGAAAGAATAAATGTTAGTATGTGATACATCCAAAATACCAAAAAAAAAAGAAGCAATGGCAATAGTAGTATGGCCACATAAGATGAAGCCTGAATTCTTGAAGCATCCACAAGCTGACAGTAGACCAGCCTTTGTCCCCTAGTCAGCCAACTGTTCCTCCATCAGTGTCACTTTCTCAGCTAATCCAACACACAGACCCTCTTTGCTAACCTAATGACTAGGTGTCCATAGCATTAAATAAGTTGCCACCTAAGACAAAAAATGATGTGGCAAGTGAATAAATGAGGAAAGAGAAGAAAACCATGTCTCACATGAGACAGGGTTTCTACACAATATCCAAGACATCATGTGTGATAAGTAGCATTAAATTGAAGTATGGAATAGTAGTGTTTGTATTGGAAGAGTAGTGTCTAGTACTAGTTTCTTAATGATGTGGAGTTTATGAAAACCATATCTAATGTTATGGGTTGGGACTGCCCTAATTTACACCTTGAAAGATGCAATTCTTCCTATCTGCAGACATGCAGGCATGCAGCTGAGTGGCCTGTACTAGAAGAAAGGGAAAGCAGAGACAGCCAGACAGGGGGACCTATTGGCAAATTGTAGGTGAGTGCAAGTGCAATGTGCAAGAAGAAAAAGTAGACGAAAGAATTAAAGAATGGATTTTTGGAAGAATGTCTGTCATCGAATTGAATTATTAGTATCTTAATTATTTGTTTAAAATATTACTAGTATCTTAATGATGACAGGCCACACACGTCGATGACTCCACCAGCCGTTATTCTTTTGTTTCGTCCTCACTCATCGCCGCTCCGCCATTGCCCAGAGCTTTTCTTTTCTACACAAAGGGAAGGGAAAGAAGAAACAGGAGGGTTTGGTATCTGAGGCTGAGCAATGGGGCTGGCCAGCGACAGCCCTGCGTCGTTCCCCTTCTCCGCCGCCAAGCTCGCCGCCTCGCCGCGCGTCTGCAACCCCATCAGCAGGAGGTAACTTGTACCAATGCTGTTCCTTTCCCTTCCATTTCTGAGCTCGGGTGTGGTTTTGCCGCGGTTTATTCTTTGTAGAAAATGCAATGGCGAGTGCATGCTGGTGTTCCTATAGTTTGCTAGTTTTGGCAAAAACTTGTCCTTTGTCAGTTCAGATCAGTTGCAACTAGTTTTTGTTCATTTTGCTGCACAAGTTTGGATTGTTCATGTTGCATTTCTCTGGGACTCTGAAAGAAGCAGAGAAAGGCATAAACCCTGCTGGCTGCTGCAGTGCAGGTGCAGCCACTCCATGAGGAGAGGAGATTGGAGAGGGTCACTTGCCTTGTGTAATGGTGGTAGGAGAATCTCAGCCCCGCCACGCCGGAGGAGTTTGAGCTCGGCCAAGAGGGGTCGGAGTTTAATTCTCCGAACCCCTTTGAAAAATAACAGGGGGTCGGAGTCGAATTTTCCGAGCAGTGGGGGTCGGGGTTTAATACTCCGACGTCCCTGAAAAATATCAGAGGGGTCGGGGTTGAATTCTCTGAACCCGCTGAAATACTGGTTTCTCGCAAATGCTACCTTCAGAGTTCAGAGTTCAGATTATGAGATGACATCAGAAGTTATCCTTTGTATAACTGATGAAAGAAGTGGCAAACCTTAAAAATGTTCATCGGAATATCGGATGGTCCCGGGCATCACAAAACGTCTGCACTTTTTTTTATCTCGTCCGGTGACTTGTCTAGATTCAGGTCCCTACATCAGCATCCTCTTTTCTGCATCTGGTTCTCAACCTCTGAACAAGTCAATGAAGGTTTTTTTCCCCCCTACTCTGTCTCTCTCTTTCTTAAAAGAAAATGCAGTCGATTTTCGGAGAAAAAAATTGCAAACTTTAGCAATTTAACTCGAAGGATCTACTTCTTATGTGATTTGTTTGGCCGGAATGTTTGATTGAATTGTGAATTGTGATTGGAACCTACATTGATAGTATGTCTTACAGTCTTAGTGGACTGAAATAATCTGTACCAGTTGTTTGATTTCTGTAGCAGTTACCACTGCCTTGTTCCAGTCCTCTGTAAAAAGGGATGTGATCAATTCTTACATGTTCCTAGAAGAGTGTAGCAAAACTAGCATGAGAAGCATATCAAACTTGATATTCACATGCTATAAATGCAAATGCAGTTCTTGGTATCTAATACTTCAAGAATGTTCCTTGTTGTGCAGGATATTTTCTGATGTTGCTGGAGATTTAACAGTATCGGTGGATGGCCAATCTTTTCTACTACATAAGGTGCCCTATCTATTTCAATAGCTTCATCTTACCCATTCTCTGTAGTCTGTCATTTTTTCTGTTGCATTTTTTTTTATCATTAGTCACCAACTACTGCACAAGCCTGCCAAGTATGTTTTGGGGGACTATTGCTCAGTTGAGCAGTTGGATTTTCTTTGCAGGAAGATTAATTACCTGACAATGTTATAAGTGGAGTAGGACTTCCATATTAATTTGCTTAACATGAGAACCAATGTGATTGAAGTGAACACCTAATTGCAATTTGGGGACATAAAAATCATAATGTATATCCTTACTGATGTGATAATTATACAAGCATATAATTTTTTGTACTGTAGGTTAGTGTTCAATATTCACAATTTCTTAAATGTAGCGCTCTGCAAAAGGCAAGTATCTTTCTTAGTGGGGGTCAACAGGGATTTCTGATCATATAGGCTGAAGGTGTTAGTCAATATAAGAGTGTGTAATTGGAGACAAAGCAGTAATTGGTTAACAGGAAAATCAGGGTTAAGGTTGTATATGTTCTTTTGTACATTAGTAATGCTTTTTGAGCTTTCATATGGAGGTTTTTTTTTTTGTGAAAAGGGGCTTTCATAGGAAGGTATTAGCAAGGAAAATGTATTTCATATTTATCTCTGCATAATTAATATAAGATTATATAGACTGAAGTAAAGTTGCAAAATGGGTTTAATCATAGTATACTTCTGTACCGATTTTGCAGTTCCCTCTAGTCTCTAGGTGTGGAAGAATACGAAGAATGGTAGCTGAATCCAAGGATCCAGATCTCTCAAAGTTGGAGCTAGTAAATGTACCAGGGGGAGCTTTAGCATTTGAACTTGCTGCCAAGTTCTGTTATGGGAGTAATTTTGAAATTAATACTGTCAATGTGGCTCATCTCCGGTGCATTGCAGAGTATTTGGAAATGACAGAAGAGTACCAAGAGGAGAATCTCATTGTTCGGACGGAGACATACCTGAACGAGATTGTAGTCAAGAACCTTGATAAATCCCTAGAAGTCTTATGTGCATGTGATGGGTTAGATCCAACAGTGGAAGACGTCGGACTTGTAGACATGTGCGTCGATGCAATTGCGATAAATGCAAGCAAGGAGCAGCTGGTTTCAGGCTTGGCTCATTTGGAATGTGATGTCGGATCAGGAAAGTTGCGCATGCATTGTCAAGATTGGTGGGTTGAGGATCTTTCTGCACTAAGAATTGACTATTATCAGCGTGTTATCATCGCAATGAGAAGAACTGGGGTGAGGCCAGAGAGTATTGGCACATCCATTGTGCACTATGCTCAAACAGCTCTGAAGGGTATCGAAAGGCGGCATGTATGGGACTCAGGTCCTCTTGTTGGAGACAACCAACGAGTGATTGTGGAGACGCTCATTGATCTGTTGGCAACAGAAAAGATCACATCGGTTACCTTGTCATTCTTGTTTGGCATGCTGAGAATGGCAATAGAAGTTGATGCAGGACTAGATTATAGGATTGAAGTTGAGAAAAGGATTGGACTTCAGCTTGAGATGGCATCACTTGATGATCTTCTGATCCCCGCAACGCAGACAAGCGACTCGATGTTTGATGTCGACACCGTCCATCGCATATTGGTGAATTTCCTGCAGAGGATAGAGGAAGATGATTCAGGAAACTTGTCACCTTGCGGATATGAGTCTGATGATGGACTAAAGTCTCCGAGCCACAGCTCAGTCTTGAAGGTTGGAAGACTGATGGATGGTTACCTTGCAGAAATAGCACCAGATCCATATCTGAAACTGCAGAAGTTCATGGCTCTCATCGAACTCTTACCGGACTATGCGAGAATTGTCGATGACGGACTCTACCGTGCCATTGACATATACCTGAAGGTAAGCTAAACTGTACTGCAAACCTTATTGTTCTTTTCCATCAGTAACTTGATATCTCTTTCTGATTATGTCCAATGGCAAATTCAGTAACTGCCACTCTGCTAGCATTGCAACGCTGTTTGCTTGTTGATGAAAATGTGACATGAATACTTGCACTGTTTAATGTGATCATTAGAACCATTTGCAATCTGTGTAGTGTCTGATGATGTACAGCTTTGTGCTGTGTGTGTGTGACGAACTGAATTGTGATAAACAACAGGCTCATCCATCTCTGATGGAGTCGGAGTGCAAGAAGGTGTGCAAGCTGATCGACTGCCAGAAGCTGTCGCAGGACGCGTCGAGCCACGCGGCGCAGAACGACCGCCTCCCCATCCAGACGGTGGTGCGCGTCCTCTACTTCGAGCAGCTCCGCCTCAAATCCACGGTGTCGTCAACTACCCCCCACACCACCTCCCTCGGCGGCGACGGCTGCGGCGGGTCGCTGTCGCAGCGGATGATGATGACCGGCGGCAGCGGGGTGGCGAGCTCGTGCGTGTCGCCGCAGCGCGACAACTACGCGTCGCTGCGGCGGGAGAACCGGGAGCTGAAGCTGGAGATCGCGCGGATGCGGGTGCGGCTGACGGAGCTGGAGCGGGAGCAGGGGGTGATGAGGCAGGGGATGCGGGATGGCCGTGGCGGCGGGGAGCACGGCCGGGCGCTGCTGGCGTCGATATCGCGAGGGATCGGGAGGATCGCCATGCTCGGGGGAGCGCAGGGAGGAGCGGAGAGGAGGAAGACGAAGAAGAGCTCTCATTCGCAGTCTCAGTGGTCGTCGGATGGTGGCGGGAAGATGAGCAACAGGCGGAGGCACAAGGCATCATCTGTCACATACGCTGCTTCCTGAATCATCAAGCTGCTGTGTTCTCGTTGCTGCATGCATTTTACAGGGAAGAGATGGTGTTATAAACCGCAGGGAAAATGTAAAATTCTACAGCTAGGTGAAGAGATTAAAGTGTAACACTCCTTTATTAGATAAGCTAATCTAGTTCTAATGTACAAGTAGTAGCATTTTCATTTTGGGTGTAGCCTTTTCTTGGTCACGGATTGGCGGCCTCCTGCGCTGATGGAACGAGGGGAATTTTGCAAAAGAACACTAGTAATCCAAATCATGGATATTTTGCGGAAACCTCTGATTAATTTCACATTTTTAACCATTCCATTCTTAACAACAATGATTTTTTGTTCAAGTAATATAAACACTAAATTTTAAATTAAGATTTTAACTTAATCAGAAGAAATAGATTTCTAACGGATTCAAATACATTTTTAATTAAAATTTAAGCTTGATTTGGTTGGGGTGCGCCGGGCCCAGGCTGTAGTGCAACGCCTGGGCGACACGCAAGGGATCCCAGTGGCAAGCCACTGTAGTGGACCCTCCCCCACAAAAAATAAATTTAATATCGAAGTGGGCACGTGGCCCACATATCAGATATTAAACTGATAAGAACAGATACTACACTTGATCTTAGCCAAAAGGCCGAGAAAGGTATGAGTGGGGACGGTGCCCTCCGCCTCCTTTTATAGCTCTCGCGGCCGCCTCTCCCAGCTGAACAGCCGAGGTGGTACTAAACTCTCTCCCAGCAAAAACCAAGCAGCAACATGCGCTCCTGCGATTTCCAATAGCCGTGGGCCTAAATCCTTCCCAGAGCCCAGGTAGTAGAGCAGCCGAAGCGGCCCATGCAACCGGCTTGTTATTTGTTGTTACTCTGACATGTGGGTCATACTATTTTCACCATAGGCCAACGTCGTGCACGATTCGAGTTGTTTCTTCTTTCTCTTCGATGTCGTACGTGCAGGCAACGTACACCAAGCCATGGACGAATTGAGCGAAATTGAATTAGATCTTCTTTGTAAGCTATGATTAAAAACCAAATTTCATTGTGCAAAGTTGAATGAAAAGCAAAACAAGATTCTTTGACATGAACATGATGCAGCTAGATCATCAGTGCAAGCAAACAGCATCTTCATCTTTCGTTTAAAGGAGAAAGCTCCAGCATATCTCTTCAACTTTCTCAATCTCTGTATACCTGTATTCGTTCGTAGATGTCCGTATCTTTTGGTCTTATCTCGTTGGATCACAGGATACCCGTCCCCACCATTTCCTCACGTGTCCTCGTTCAACTGGTGTACGAAATTTTGTGGGACCCAAACCATATCCTCCGACGTGGCAAGTCCCAAGCCACGTCCACTTTTCTTATTCCCACTAATTTCTTGGAAGAGTACTGCATTGATCGTTTACGTGGACGGAGATGAGCCTAGCACCACTATCAATGACAATTATCAACAGTGGATCAGAGTTGCAATATTGCAAACTGTAGCTTTGTGAATGTATTTATCCGTGCAAGAACTATTCATTCCATTCCATGGTTCAGAAGTTCAGATCACCTTGCCTTGATCAACACCAAGTCTGATGCTGATGGCACGTACTAGTGAACATGATCTGTTTAGTTTGACGGACAAAGTTGCCATCATCAAGATGGAAGCTAGCGAAGAGTAGTGATCAGAAGTTCAGAATAGTTGCAGGAAATGGAAACTGAACTGAAGAAGAGACCAACTTATATCGGCAACATGCAAGTAGCGGACGATACACGACATCACATTGCTGACCAGATACGCCTCTACAGCCATGCAATTTTGGCTGCTATACTATTACTTGGAGGCATACCTGCCATTGTACTCCACTCGTTATTATTACAAAAAGTTAAGAGTTTAATACAAACAGTGAAATGAGATGGAATCTCTATAAATCCGATCAAGGAGGATCAAATATTCAGATCGCAGGAAATCGTATCTGCCTACTTTTCGAGAGCTTAACAAGGGAGAGCTCCTTAATTGCCACGTCCCGCCCGCTCACTGCCTAAGCTTCCAAGTTCCAACGGGGACATCTCTTCTCTTGCACCTTCCTGATTTCATGGATCGGACAAGCCAGTGGTATGTGTGCCAACCTCTGATGAATTCCTGTTCTTGTTATCACTCTTTCAACTCAACTAATCATCATCTTCTTCCATCCAAATCGATGCAGGGTCTCGTCGCCGGACATCCCCGCCGATCTTCTCATCCGGATCGCCGACGACGTCTTCCCTCTCCATAAGGTTCTTTTCCCTTCGTTTTCTCCTTTCACTTCACCTCTTCTTCAATTTGTTCTTCTAAGTTCTAAGAACAAGAACATACTCTGTTTTGCTAATTTGCTCTGATTTTGATCAAACTCTGACGTCCAAAATCTTTCTTCTTTTTGTACTACGTGTTAGCAGGCGGTGATGGTGCCCAAGTGCTGCTACATCCGCAAGGCCGTAGCGGCGGCGCGCGGTGGCGCAACGGCCACCGTCGACCTCGACCTGTCCGCGCTGCCCGGCGCCGCCGACGCCTTCGACAAGGTGGCGCGCTACTGCTACGGCGCCAACTTCGAGCTATCCGTGCGCAACGCGGCCGCGCTCCTCTGCGCCGCCGCCTTCCTCGACATGCACCCAACGGACGGCGGCCTGGCGCGCCGCGTCGAGGAGTTCCTGGCCAAGGTAGGCCTCCGCACGCTGCCCGGCGCCGTCGCCGTTCTGCGCTCCTGCGAGGGGCTCCTCCCGGCCGCCGAGGAGATCGGCGTCGTGCAGCGATCAGCTGATGCTATCGCGCTCAGGATCTGCAACGAGGTGCTGTTCCCGACGAGGTCGCCGCCCGAGTGGTGGACGGCGGAGCTCGCCGCCCTCTCGCCGGCGTCGTTCCACAAGGTCATCACGGCGCTGCGCTGCCGCCGCGCTGAACCCGAGGTGCTTGTCGCTGCGGCGACCGCTTACGCTGAGCTCTTGCTGGCCGAAGTGCTCGCCGCCGACGGCCATGCTGCTGATCACTCCGGGATGCACCGCGCGCTTGTCGAGTCCGTGGTGGCCGTGCTCCCTTCCACGGACGACGCGCCCCTCCCCGCCGCGTTCCTCTGCCACCTCCTCCACGTCGCCATCACCATCGGCGCATCCGCCAAGACGTGCCACGACCTGGAGCTCCGCGTGGCGGCGGTGCTCGACCAGGCCACCGCGGGCGACCTGCTGACCGTCGCGCTCGACGGCGCCGGTGAGCGCGTCCAGAACGTCGACGCCGTGCGCCGCATCATCACCGCCTTCGTGGAGCGCGACTCTGCGGCGTCATCGGGCGGCGGCGCGAACGGCCGGAACCGGAGGGCGTCCCTGAGCGGAGCCGGGGCGCTGCAGG